CTTTGCGTACTGTTTCCCTACATGATAATCAGTAAAATTAAACCTTATGAAATGACAAAACAAAATTTGATCAACTAATTTAAACCAACAGCTCGGCATTTTATCAGACAATCCATGTGCAACCAAGTAAAAACTACAGGATGCAACTAAAATAATAAATCAGCATAATTACACCAGAAAACCAGTAGCAGAAATCGTAAGCACTAATATGGATATCTATCTCTATCTGCAAACCTCCTACAGACAACAGATGTAAAAACCAACAACTCTTTAAAAAATTATCCTATGGCAGTAATAAGCTATCCAAATTGTTCATCTTAATCAAAAAAAAAATTGTGGACTAAGACAGCACCACCTATGACTCAAACAACTATATTTCGATAGAACCTTCACAACCCATGATAATAATAGATTAAAATGAACAAAACGAAGTGGTGCGTGCTGCACTCCCGACACGTTATTTGATAAAGCACCTGTACCTATACCTATCGGTGTTTAATGCTAATGCCAAAGCTAAATCCCCATTCCTCAGCCATTTATTTTTTCACATTTCAACTACGGAATCGTGTTAAATCGAGTTTATATTAAGGCAATCACTGAAAATAGTTCATACAACATAAAGAGGAAAAAAATAATTAAAACAGAAATTATGGATAAGAGTGGGATTTGGCTCCAATTGATCAACGGAAAACATAAACTACGTGACTGCATATCCAATTTCAAAATTCGCAAATGTTAACAACAACCTTGCCTACTAGACAAACGAGGAACAGCAATGGACTCGCGTTTACGAGCCAACGACAATTAGGGTAGCAAAAGCAAATCAAAAACAAAAATGCGCTTCTAGAGTTCTGGTGCTACACTTCTACCATACTGGGTCTGGGTCCCTAATAAAAAGCCCAATAACTCAAATAAAATTTAAATTGGGGCATTCCGAGAATCGAACTCGGGACCTCTCGCACCCAAAGCGAGAATCATACCACTAGACCAAATGCCCAATGTTGTCTCATTAGTGTAATTTTTTAAATAAATATTATTTATTAGGCTTTACAATGTGGGGCAATAACAGAATAAGCGCGAGCTGTTATCATAAGTGTAAAAAAATTTTACACCGACGATCAATCATATCTTTTAATAGTATCATATCAGTTGCTTATTTAATAAAATAAGTAATTTTAAAAGATATGATGAATAGTGTATAAATGATTAACTCTTATCATAATTGGAGTGCTACTGAAAATTGCAATGACTATTGAAACACACACCAAACCCATCATTGTAGGTACTCTGTGCCTGACGTTGATCTCTAAACTTTTCCATATACAAAAATATTATATGATATTTTATCTCCTCTTTCTACGTTCGACTCAAAATGGAAAACGTAAAAGTAGTGCCACATATCAAAATTCAGATCTCTATACAGTTATTGGTAACCTTGCAAATTTGCAATCCATCCCTTGTAACTCAAGAAAAATATGAGAGATACTATTTGAAAAGTGAGATTCGACAACTGGATGTTGAACGATGCAGTGCCATGGAAGCCCACGTTACAAAGTGACTGTATTTTATATTAGTATTAATTAATTAAGGACTTAGTTGGAGACTTTCGTGATTCTATAATTTAATTCAAGTAACACTAAGGAATTGCTAAAGATTTAGGTCAAACGCCAGTGAGTTATGGTCTGTACTGTGTAGGGTCATGGTATCCACCCATCTTACAGTATATGTGACATTATGATTCTTCATCTTCCCATCCTAATAAATACAAATTTAATAATGATGGTACAAGGCAGTTAGAAAAAAACAAAGGGCTTGTAATGTTTTTTTTTTTTTAGTTTTCGCTATGCCACCGTAATTGGAAGTTACTGTACTCCTACTTGGCTCAAAAGTTAAACTTGATATTTTTGTTGCGTACTACATGTTATTGTGTTTGTTTCATGTCTTTTAGTTTGTACGCATTTAACAACACAGTTGAAGACATTAAAATTATGTAGTAGGAGAACACGTTAGTTTGGTGGTTAAAATCTTGGACAAAATCATTGTCAATGACAGTATATTTGTTGAGGCGTCTGCTTTTGTCTGCTGCCTCTCACATTTCACCACCCCTTTATCCTTATCTCCTCTTCTTCATCGTTTTGCTCTTCAAAAAAACACGCACACCTTGGTAAGGTGAGAGAATAAGAAAATTATGGCATTTGCAGGAACAACCCAGAAGTGCATGGCTTGTGACAAAACGGTTTATCTCGTTGATAAGTTGACTGCGGATAACCGAGTGTACCATAAGGCTTGCTTCAGATGCCACCACTGCAAAGGAACACTCAAGGTCTTTCTCTTCTAACCTCTTTGGATTTGTATCTACGGATAACAATTCTTCATGGTCATGTAGGGTTTCACTCTAGTTGAGGTCTTTATGTCCCTAGATCTGGTGTCTGTTGTTGATCATCAGAACAAACTAGTGTCACTAAAAGTGAAATTATAACTTCCTTAGTTTTCGCATTTCTCTTAATTTTCTTTCCAAAACCTTACCAGGATTTCCTGTTGCTTACTTGTAAGCCTGCTTGTAACATTCAAAAGGGAAAGAAAAAAAATGTATCAAACCTCATAATATACACAAGAATCCATCCAAATTTAAGGTGTGGTGGATGGATCTAATTCTGCTTCCTCCCTTTCACTGTTTTTCCACTTAAACTGAAATTGATTTGGCAATCTCTTGTTTATGGTCTATATGATTCCCTAGATGTTTCTTTTAATGTTCAACAGCTGGCAATGGCAAAAAATATTGGATCCTCTTTGCCTTCTAGTGTTTTAAGGTGTGCAACTGGATTTAATTTTTATAAAGTTTAGTGACAGAGTAATGTATTTGCAGCTTAGCAACTATAACTCTTTTGAGGGAGTTCTATACTGCAAGCCACACTTTGACCAACTTTTCAAAAGAACTGGTAGCCTTGACAAAAGCTTCGAAGGTAACGAAGGATCCAAAAAATCCAATAATTCAAATTAAGCTTCACTATATTTTTCTTCTGGGTCACTAAATGTTATTTCCTTTTGGCTGATCAGGGACACCAAAAATTGCCAAACCAGAAAAAACAGGTGATAATGAGGTATTATCTACTAACCTAGATACTTGTTAATGTGCGACAAAGCAAGTTAGGGGAGATGTCAGTGACACATTTCATCATCGATTCAAATTTGTTGAAAATTACAAAATTTTATTTTTTTTATTAATGAGTTTTATTCATTACTTTGTAACCAAAAATAAATTTTAGCTAATTACAGAGAATGCTTTAAAAAGAGTGTTGAGAGAGTTTTGCTGCATTTATCTAATTTTTGAGCTGTTTTTAATCAGAGACCTGCAGCAACCAAAGTTTTAAGTATGTTTGGTGGAACCAGAGATAAATGTGCCGGTTGTCAGAAAACAGTGTATCCTACTGAAAAGGTAACAACACAACCATAATTTCATCCATTAATGCATTTTAGTGTCACCATTCACAATTGCTAAGCATCCATCTCACCCTCCTCTCTAATCTAAAACCTTGATGCTAAGTGCTAAAATTTTCATTCTGCTGCATAAAGGGGTATTAAGTTTTATATGCTACATGAATGAAATGAGTATTTTGAAATGGTGTAGGTTAGTGTGAATGGAACACCTTATCACAAGAGTTGTTTCAAATGCACTCATGGAGGGTGTGTTATTAGTCCTTCTAATTACATTGCACACGATGGCAAACTCTACTGCAAACACCACCACATCCAACTGATCAAGGAGAAGGGAAATTTAAGCCAACTTGAAGGTGACCATGAGAAGACTGCAATGCATGAGAAAATCAACGGTGAAGTAGTTGCAGCTGAGACATGAAAAGCATGAGTTATGACATAAGAGTCTCAGAATGTTCCATATTTTTGTATCATGTGTTTTTGCTATCTCTCCTGCTTTACCATTACAGTCTTGAAAAATATGGTATTGCCTTTTTCTTTTTAACAAAACATAGATGCAATTCCTACGGTGTTTTATGTGTTGTTTTCTATTTAGAATGGAAGTTTCACCTCCACAATCCACATAATAAATGATTTTATTAAATGTCAACATAAGTTTCTAAAGTGAAACTTCAAATTCTGATCAGATAAGAACACCAAAACACCAGAGAAACTGTATTTTTCTCTTTTTCTGTAATGTGGAAATCCATCATTTGTTTTCCGTTGTTGTGAGGTTGTTGATACTTAAGTGAGACTCAATGGCATTCGATTCTGAATATGTGATTCACAAGACAGTGCTACTGAATTTCTTAAAAGTCTCTTTTGTATTCATATTGCTACATATACCTACATCGTAATCTCCAAATTTCGTTTCCCACTTACTAATTTGATCACCCAAATAATATACAATGAAATATGAATGCAAGTGCAACCAACTTTCTATTTCAATTCAACTCTGTTGAAAATATGCAAAATCCGGTGGATTCTAGATGGTATTGGTAAAACTTGGACCAGCTTTTCAACTTACATGTCATATTATCGTGTTTCGCTTATTTTGTTCTAGATTCTTGCTTATTCGCATTCTTTCTCTAATTTATTCTAAATATTCAGCCTCGTGTTAAATTGAGTTCTTTACTAAACTTCAGTTATAAGTTTCTTGGTTTGTTTAATGGCGGCAATAAGGTGAATTATCTTCAGTTATTATCAACAGTAACGGCCATGAATAGTCAACTAACAAAATAATAAAATTTAACTTAGTGACAAAAACTGAAGAAAAAAAATATAGGGACAAGATTTACAAAATAATGGTCTATAAAATCATTTTTTACACTCATGACTCGTGGTTGTAGATTACAATAACGTTGGAAAAAATTGTAATTATATGGACACTTTAATATCTCAAACACGCTATTACCCGATGTTTTATTTTTTTTGACATTAAAGAGGGCAAAAGCCCAAAGTCTACCGATGCATTTTGAATACACATTTCATTAGATTATACGTAATAATTTCTCAAAAAATATTAGATGTAATAATCATTTGATTAGTGTACCAAAAAAGTGCCTATGCGTAGTCGTTTTTTTAATTGGATAAATTAAATGTTTTTTTTTCTTCTTTTCTATGGTGTTTAGAAAAGGTTTTATAATTTGTTGGGCAAATATTTAAATTACTCATTAAGAAAATCACTCACCTAGATTTGAACTTAATAAAAAAAAAAGTTACCAAATATTCTCTTAAGTTTTTTTTTTTAATGAAGCGCATTAATAATTATGTCGATAGAGTTTTGTTAAACTAATGAAAGTGGCAACGTCACACATTAACAATTTGAGATAACAATATTTTAGGTTTTTTACCATACAAGATGTTTTTTAAAATCTCTTTCATTTACAAAAAAAGGACCCAATATAGTTCTTAAAAAAAAACATCCAACCTGGTTTGTTTTTTAAAAAGTTACAAATTTCGTCATGAATCGATTTTGGAATTTTCAGACCATAACTCCTCTAAAACACACTTATTTCATCGTCCTTTGTATGTATTGACATTGACTGTAATTGTAAAATTCATCACTAAAGGTGCTGATTTGGACTAGGCTCGAAGTTTAATATGTATAATAGATTTTTTTTTTATTCTTAGTGTTGGTTCAGTCCATAACTACATGTAATGTCTTGTTTAGAGTTAAGTTACTTTGTTCCTACCCCTAGAGAAAATAGTCTACCCAATAGGAAATTTTAAGCCTTTTGTCATGAAATCTAGATCATCTCAACCAAGTATAAATATAATTAGATGAACATCTATTACATACCGTTATTTTGGTTAAATTTTTACTGACATAAAATTAGTGTTTTTTTTTACATGGTATTCATCTCTTCTTGTAATCTTGCTACAAAATTCAATCAAGATTACGCGATATTGAATTTAAATCCACATAGAGGCTCATATTGAATTTACGTAAATTTACTGGACATATTTAATATATATAATATATAATACTTTATTTGTTTAATAATTCGTCATTGAACATCGACCACTTCTAAATAATAATACTAATAGCTCTCTAAAATTTATGCAATCATGAAATAAATTTTCACATATCGTTCGGTGGTGGTTGCCGTAGTAAGACATGCCAATTTTTTTTGTCTAATCTGATCAAGGTCAACAACATATTTCGAGACAACAGCACAGCTCTAGGCAGCAGAGGCATCCCATTGCACCAAGACTACAACACAAAAATAACAAATAATTAAACATTTTTTAATTTCTCATGACATGAAAAAAGTAATACAATATTATCAAACTTCAATTTTACTTTTTTCCAAGTCTATAACATTATGAAGATTTTAAATTGAATCAATGTTGATAAATAAATTAAACTAGCACATCAATCACTAAAACAAGTGTGATGATGAAATGAGAGTAATATATATATGTATAAAGTTTGAAGTTTGAAAAGAGTATGTACCATCCGGCCATTCCACCGGCGGCAGCTGCTGAACCTTGTCCTTGTGCCACAGGTGGAGCTTGAGAGACAAAAACTTGAGGTGGGGGTTGAGGAGCTCCTTGGTATGGAGGAGGAGGACCTTGATAACCTGGTTGAGGATACCCTATAGTATTTGGACCCAACAATAGCAAATTAATAACATAATCAACATTGAGACATGTCACAGTAAATTAAAATCTATAGATTAAAAAAATAAATAAATAAACAATTTAACAATGTTTTGATGTATTTGTTTGAGAACCTTGAGGAGGAGGAGGCCCGGACATAGGAGCGTTTTGATTGTAGTAACTCATCTCACTTTCACTTTCTTCACCCTTTGGATTTCGGAATAAATTGCATTGTCTCCTACTATGTTATGGTGTATATATATTTTTGTTGGTGGATTGATGTGTCAAAGTTGATTCAAATGAAGCAAATTGTGCTTTATGGGAAACACGCTTTCATTTAATTTACTTACCTTGTAATGGTCTAAGAAGTTTTAATCACACCCGTTGGTTGTTGTTAATATATGTGATCGTACGGTGTTTGTTCGATCACCAGCAGTGGACTTGACACTGTGGCCAAAACAGGAAAAGAAAATTTGAAATCAGATTTTGTGACCAATCAGCGAAAAAGGAATCTCTGGTATGCTTAAGGAGTTTTGAATATATGGAATTCATCTTTTTTGGTATACGATCTATATGGAATTCATGAGTTTAGATGTAATAATCTTTTGATTAGTGCACAGTCAAAAACGTGTCTACGCGTATTTGTGGTTTCCTTAATACGACAAATGAATCGGATTTTTTTCTTTCTTTTTTACTGTGTTTGGAAAAAGTTTTATAATTTTTTTAGTAAAGACTTAAATTATTCATCGAGGAAATCAGTCAGCCAATTTTTTTCTTCTTTCAAAGTTACCGAATATTTTTGTAAAACACTTTAATCATTTTGTATAATCAGTACAAAAAATTTATCAACTTTACTAAACTTGAGACCGTATTTCAAAATATTAAGGTAATTTTTACTTGAATCAACGACTTGTAGATACATGTTAAGAATTTTAATAACATTTTATAATTTCAATTTTCTATGATAGAATTAGAAACATTTTTTTAAATTCCTTCGTTTAAGGGGAATATCCAGTTGTTTTTAGGAATAGAAATGGCTTGATTTAGTTTCTAAACAAAATAATTTCCAACCTAATTTGTTTTTTTTTTCTTTTTAAAAGTTACAAGTCATTATCTGCTTTTAGAACTTTTGAAACATAACCCTCTGAAATACACTTATTTCATGGTCCTGAAGTGCATTGATTAATTGTATAAATTCATCCTTAAAGGAAATGATTCTTATTGAATTTGAGGTTCAATTCACATATCAATACCAGACTGCTTTTACTCAATATATTGCTTCAAGTTGTAAGGTAGTAAGTAAAGGGGTTGACAAAAATCAACGCGCTCAAGTAATCGAATCTTTAATATATATACAATTCTGAACAATAGATTATCCATTAGGAATAATTTATATATTAAGAGAGACCATTGAAATACTTTTTATTTTTAATAGAAAAATTTTCAAAAATACTTATAATTTGTATCTAAATAAGAATTAAGCATCTTAAGTTTTCAAAAAATTTGATACTACAGAGTACAGATACAAAAATAAAAAAAAAAAAAAAACTAAAAGAACATACAAAACTAAAGTAATAGGTGAAGGAGGAAAATACAAAGTAAAATAGAAATCATTATAGACTAACAAAAGAAAGATTCATAAAACCCATAAAAAAATTATTGAAAACATATAATTGACATTAAAAATTATTTAAAATCTTATGTTCTTAATTGCATCATTAAATTTATTAAAAGTTAATAATTTAGTTTTATAATAGGAAATGTTTGAATTCTAAAAGATAAAAGATATTTAGAAAATAAGTGAATCCATGACAATATAATTTTTAAAGAGAGTATTATACCTTTAATAATATATAGACGTATAGATTATAATTTATATTCAACACATTGAATGATAAATAATAATTACCTTTATATCGTTTTATATAATTTTTATCAACTTCTCATACTTCAATTATCCTTCTCATGTAAAAGAAATTATTAAATTTTAAAACATGTGTGAGAAAATAATGAGAAGAATGTAAATTAAAGGAGAAAATGTACATTCCATCTTCTTTTTGACAACGAATCCAATGTATAGGATGATAATATATGATAAATATATTGAATTATGAGAGTAATAAAATAGTCTTCATAAACTTTTATGGAAAGATAAAAGATGTAAAAAAAGAGAATACTCAAATCTTTTCATTCATACACGTCATTTAAAGTCACTACTAAGCTTCATCATTATCAATCCACCATCTATAAATAACACACAAAAAAATTAAATAAAAAATTTGATACTACAAAAGAAAAAATAAAAATAAAAAAATTAACAAAGAACATACTATAGAATAGTACTAGGTGAAGGATGAGAGCATGTAAAATAAAAATTACTCGTAAACAAACAAAAATGTCATAAAATTCATAAAAAGTCATTAAAAACATATAATTGACATTAAAATTCATTAAGTAATATCTTTAATTCATGTCATTAAATTATTAAAAGCTAATAATTTAGTTTTATAACTAATAGAAAATGTTTGAACTCTAAATGACATGAGAGTTTCAGAAAATAAGTTTGAACTCTAAAAATCATAAGTTTTAAAATATAAGTGGGTCCAGGACAATGTAGGTTTGAATAGAATAATTTTCAAGGAAACTATTTATGGAAGTAATAGATGAATGAGGAAAACACAAAGTTAAATAGAAATTACTTGTGAATTAACAACCGACTCATAAAATCCATAAAAAAAAAATCAATTAAAAATCATTAAAAAAATTCATATCTCATATTAAAAATGTAGCATTTTTAATTGGCATCATTAAATTTTAATAAAATCAAATAATTTAATTTTATAACTAATAGGAACTATTTGAATTATAAAAGAAAAAAAATTAGAAAATAATTGAATCTAGGGTAATGTAGTTTTTCGTTAGGACTATTCCACTTTTAATAATATATATAAATAGTTGGTGAAGGAGAAGAAAACAAAGTTAAATAGAGATTGTTATATAATAAACCTTTATTCTTATAAAATAAAGATAATAATAATTTTAAAATATGAATAAAATATACTTTAAAATATAAAATTAATAAAAATAATTTATTTTTTAATATATTTATTATCAAAAGTATATATATATACCAAAAGTTGCTAACTAATACAAATTTGATAAATATATTAATTGTCAGAGATAGTAGTAAATTAGACAAAAATATAAATATATATTAAATCAAATATCGTGCATCATAAAAGTAAATATACTAGTATATATTATAAAATTACAAATATACATTTTAAAGGATAAATTTCTTAAAGTTAAATTAATAATTAAGATTGTTGTCAAAAGAAAATAATAATATTTTTTGACTATATAAAATAATAATATTTAAAATTAGACTAATTGAATGATACTTATATTTTATAATTATTTTAAAAATTATACAATATAATATTAATAATGAGAAAAACTCAAATATAAACATTTTATTAATTTTAAAACATAAAACTTAAAAATTTTACACTTATCCTAAAAAAATTCTTATTATTAATTTAATCAACATATTTTCGCACAAAATATGTTTTTTATTTAGGAATGAAAGCTTTTTCATTTTTCGTTTTTTTTTACCTCTGTTGGAACATGTGTACATTTTTTTTAAATGCTTTCTCATTGTTATAAATTCAATTTTTTAAAAATAACTATATGATAATTTTTTCATACTTTATTATTATTATTATTATTATAATAAAAACATCAAACCTAATATACTTTTTTTTTGTTATTTATTTGACAATTTTGAAACAAACTCTTTGCTTGTGGTTTAGATTAGGCATGACAACGGGCAGGTTTTCCGTTTCCCGCTCCCGCCCTTACAAATTTAAATCGCCCCCGCCCCTAATACCCACTGAGGATAAAATCTTGGTCCCTGTCGGGTTTCCCCGCCCCGCCCCCGTTCCCGTTCCTATTTTTCTTCTTCTTTTTTTTTCTTTTAAATAAATATGAACAATTTAAAAAAAATAAAAGAAAAGTAAAATAATATAAATTTTTACATATAAATATTTTTAATTTTGGTTTA